GTAGCCAGAGGGAAGATCCCTGTGCTGTGTGCTGAGTCATCTTCCCAACCTGAGTGGGCCATGATTTCCCAGCACAGGCTCTGCCATAAGAAAGTACTGCCAGGTACCATCCCCACCCTAATGCCTCCAGCTGAGGTACACAGCTCTGAAACAGGACAGCACCTCCAACGTGTCCTGAGATGACAGGGTGTGGTGGGATGGCAGGAAGGGTCAGGACCACTGTAATTCCAGAAGGCAAGAGCCCTCCTGGCCCACTTCCAGTCCACAGGGGCTCGCTTGACTCTTAGGAGGCTTTGCCCACCATCCTCAGGTCCTAGGGACCCCTATACCCTCCCTGCTCAACTCCTGGTCCTGTGTGGGCCAGGCTCTGGTCAGGTCAGGGTCAGGGGAAGGCACTGGGCATTTTCTGACACACATATCGTAGACTGTGAGACTGTGTGACTAGATGTATCACCGATGTCCACTACACAAGCGTGGCTCAAGCTGCCAGGCCTCAGCATAGCTCTGAGACGCCATGGGAACTTGGCAGTGACAGAGTCGGGTGGGGCTAGGGGGCAGCTGAAAGTGACTCAGCCGAGGAGGCATTCCCAGGGGATGTGTCACAGCAGAGCCTGGGTGCTGTTGCCACCCTCAGTCGAGGCCTGCCAGGCAGGGAGCCACCCAAGGGCCGGTCTGCAGTTAGGCATCTGTAGGAGGTTGCCTCCTTCCCCCCTCAGAGGGTCCAGCTCTCAGGAAACAAGGGCCACCAAGGGGTCAAAGGAGACTTGGTAGAGAGATGAGGCACCCTGAACTCAGTACCCTGAAGGTAGACCCTCAACCTGACCTTCACCTTCACCTTCAGCAGGCAGTGAGTGACCCAAGGGCTTGAGCCCCAAAGGGACCTCCACTTGGTTAAAGGAGCTGAGTCATCGGAGCCTGCCAAGCCCAGGGCCAGTGCCAGGCAGCCCCCAGGCAGAATGGCAAGTCTTTGAGACAGGGAAGCCCAGGTGAGGTCCCTGGGCTGTGTCCCCACTCCACGCTGTGCCCAGGCAGGAACGTGACATGAGGTCCCTTCCTGCTCTGCCTCAGAACAGTCAGCAACTCTGCCCAGCATTGCACCTACAAGGCCAAGTCACAGACAGGACCCTGGAGAGGGGCCTCAACATGCCCTCCGCCCTCACACATCCACATCAGGGCCAGTAGGGAGGGTATTGCAACATGCTGGGCAGCAGCACCAGCTGGAAGGGTTTCTGCCCAGTGTGGGGTGTGGGGAGTGGGGAGCACAGCCTCCTGCCCCAGGCCTCCTGGGCCCAGCTCCAATTTTCCATTTGAGAAAGTGCTTCTGACTATTAAATATTTATCCCAGCAAGGCAGGCCTTGGGTCCTTCAGCCTGTGGCTTCCAAGAAAAGAAACATAAAGGGAAACCCAGAGGCAGAGGCAGAGAGCAGGAAGGCGGGGCTACTGGAGACGCCCCTCACAGGACAACATCTGCCCTTAGAGTGGAAGCCAAGGTCAGGATAGCATGGCCGTTCTGTGTCCCCAGTTATGACTCCAGTCTACACTAAGCCCCTTAGAGTTCACCCATCTCACCGTCCCTCTGTTCCACTCCACTCCCTATCAGCTCTACCCAGATCTAGCCTCATCCCCCCAACAAACTGTCTGGTAGGTTATATTGCCCACAGCCTCCCTTCTCACTGCTGGCTCTGAGCCCTCTGTGACTCTACTTCCTACTTGCTGGACAGTGGGTGAATCTCTGCTCTCCCCATGTGTGACCTCCCAAGTCTTGGGGCCTCTAGGGTACAGCAATGCTGGGTGGCTCTCAGACACTGATGGCTAGGTGGACACGTAGAGATGGCTAGGCATCCTCGAGTACAAAGTCTGCCTCTCCCAAGCAGGGGACCAAGCAGTAGAGTTTGGCTCTTTGCTCCTGGAATGGGTGGCAGAAATACCCAAGAAAACAGAGCTCCACCCTTTCTGCTGGGCCTCTCCTCCCCAGGCAAGCTGCACCCAAACACAGACATCTTCAATAAAGGATGGGGGGTGGAGTTCAGAAAGAGCCAGGAGTCAGTCCTGTAATCCACAGGGCTTCCAGCAGAGGCAGCAACCCGTTCAGCCTAAGACAGAACATGTTTAGGCAGAGAGAAGGGAATGAAGGCATTCCTGCTGCAGACCAAGCCTGGGTGGGGTGGGTACAGCTGCCTGGGCCTGGGAAGCTCAAAGGCTTGGGAATCCATGGGCTTGACCCTCCTGTCTACTCCCAGGCCACAATCCACCCCTTCCCTGGCTGACACAGATCAATACAGCTTAGAAAGGTAAGCTGCAGCACAGCCCTGTTCCTGAGCCAACCAAGGAAGGAGCACGGGGTGTCGTCAGCAGTTAATGCAGCCCCCAGCAGTAGCTTCTGAGCCCACTCCATCAAGTAGGGGAATGATTCAGGACAACCTTTGCTGCCTCCTCGGTGACTGTCCCACCACGGACAACCTAAGCTGAAAGAGGCCACCAGACCCCGGTCTCTGTTGTCCCCTTCCCTCGGGGGCCAGGGCAGAGCTAGTACCACATGTCACCTCTCAAGGAATGTGGCCTAGACAGCTCTGCTGTGCTGCAGGGCTCAGTGTTCCTGCTCCCTGCCTCAGTATCCATCTTCAAAACAGGGACACAGCCTCCCACAAGTACTCCACCCCTGATAGTGCAATGCTGGCACGTGGCCTTGCTGGGGGTACAGCTCTAGCTTAGCATAGCACCCTGAGCACTTCTGGTCACAGATGCCAGGTCCAGAACCACACCCTAGTCCCCTGGCTGGGCACCTTAACAGCTGCTCTGACCCTAGACTCTTTTGGGAAAGGCCCCAGTCATGCCATGGCCCCCAACCTAGAGAAGAGTGCATCCAGATGTCCCTCACAGTATCATTGCACTAAGGGTGCCCCAGAGCCAGTGGTGGCTTCTTGGGGTATAGTTGGTGAAAGTGCCTAGACCATGCCAAGCTCGTGCTGGTGCAGCACAGGGGCCATAGCCAGAGGAACAAGGCTCCCTGTCACTCTACCCAGGAACCAGCTATGCCTCTGGGAAGGAATTAACGTGCCCCGAGACAGAGAGGGACATGGCACCGGCATCTACGGAGATGAACTTAATGGTGTAAGTCAGGAGCCCTGCATAAGGTCCTTCTCAAACTGGTGAAGGAATTGGGGCACTCCTAGATTGGGCGTATCCCTATGTAGGCTGCCACCCATCCCTGGGCAGTTACATTCCCAGAACAGCCACCAGGGGGAAGCCTCTGCGCAAGCTGGCTGGGACAGGGTTCCTTTTCTCTGAGTTGTTGAGGAGGGTGACAGGAGAACAGACACCAGAGGGTTTAGAGACCAGGCAGGGCTGGCACAGGAGAGCAATTGTGCCTGTTGGGAGTGGACTTCAGCTGGAAAAGTCCTGGCCCCAATCCCTAGGGAAGGGGGGGGGTCTTTACCAGACATGCACGTCCCTCTGCCCCTGAGCAGGGTTGAGCAGGGCCTAGACAGAACCTTCAAGGCACTGATGCTGTAAGTCCTACCAGAGCTGAAGCATCTGGTGGGAGCCCTGCCTTTATTTCCTAAGTGCAGGTGGACAGAAGGAGAAATTGCCCCTGGTGAGCCTTTCAAAAGCAGGAAGCAAGACCCTTGACTGGGGAGGCACTACCTTGGAGAAGGCCGAGTATAGTAATGTGGTCAAAAACCTACAGCTTGGGGATCTCAAACACTCTTCGTCTCAAGAGTGAAGACGTCATAGCGTGGGAATGACCACTCATGGAAGTTGGAGGCAGACCAGCCCCATGTCCTTGGACCTTCTCTCTCTGGGGAAGGTTCATCTGCAGTGATGGGCACCCACGGCAAAGAAGGATTCAGGGGACTATGCTAGTGGGGGGCACCCACATCTGGGTAGAGGAGGCCCAACAAGAGGCACCCTGGGATGATGAAGGCCAGTTCTGGAAGGGGCCCAGGCTCCAACTCCAGCCAACCCTTGCCTGACAAATGTGCCATGGGAAGGGCCATGGGAGCTCCTCTCTGGGTGGAGAGGATGCCAGGCAGAACATTCCTCTGCATCACCAATAGCATCATATCATCATTGTTATCGATTGCTTTCCCCAAGGAGAAGGCCCTGTCTACACCAGTACAGCATCATTGCATCCCACTTGCCAGTGGCTGGCCAGGTGCCCTGGGTGTGGCCAGACTGCTGCACTATTGGCCCAATGCCTGAAGGACAGTCCCCTGCTGCCCCACCCTGCCCTCCCAGACACCTAAGGCAGGCCCAGGCCAGGACAAGGACCATCTGATAAAAAGCACCAGATACCCATTCTGCAGTAGAGGCTCAGTAAGAGAGGTGGTGACCATCCTGGGGGGCTCGAAGTTTCTGCCCAGTGCAGGGGGACTCTGTCACTTGATCTCAGGCCCTACTCAGGCCCCTTACCAAGCCCCAGACCTCAAGCCTCACCCTGCCTCAGCCACCTCAGCTGGTCATCCAAACACATAGTAGCCACCTGGTAGATCCAGCACAGCACAGCCTGGCAACCCCCGACCTAACTCCTGGCCCAGCCAAGATGGTCCCCCCCAAAAGCAGGCTAGAGGCTAGATCTTGCAGCAGGTCTCCCGGCCCAGGACAGACACCTGCTCACACAGGCGGCCCTTTCCATCCAATATGCTGCACACCTGCTTCCATGGCTGCCGTCTGGGCAAGACAGCATCCCAGAGGGTTACAGTAGGAGGCCAGTGATGTAGAAATGCAAAGACAGACAGGGAGGGTGCGAGGGTCCGGCGGGCCAGGAGCCACACAGAGTGATGGAAACAAAGTGAGCAACCCAGACCGGGAAAAAGGGGTGAGACGCACCAGGCAGGGACAGGTACCAGGCGAAATGCAGAGACCCAGAGAGCCAGCGAAGCCCCCAAAGCAAGCGCGCCCCGCCCGCCCACCCGCCTCCCCACGAGCAGCCCGGGCACTGCGCGCCCCGGAGCCCACCCGCCTAGAGGAGCGGGCTGCAGGCGGGGAGGAGGCGCACCGCTGCCGGGGGCTCCAGGCCAGGTGGGCAGCACCACGTGGAAGCAGTCGCACATCCCGGCGGCTGGCGGTGCGGGCCGGCGGCGACCCTGAGCGTCCAGTCGCGGGCCTGGAGGTGGTGCACCAGCAGGAGGGCTCGACCCCAGGGAGGTCTGGCCGCCCGGTGCCGCGGGCAGCCGGGCTGTGAGAGCGGAGGTCGCAGCCGGTGCCTCTCCGGACCCCGCTCCGGACCCGCCCCGGCACGCCCAGCCCGCGGCCACCACTCCGCAGCCACCGTGCGGGCGGCGCCGCCGGGCCCATTCAGCCCATTGGCAGCTCCAGCCCAGGCTCCGCCCCACGCCGGTCCCGCCCCGTCGGACCCAGACCCCCGCCTCCAGCCGGCCTCGCTCCCCCGCCCCCAGCTGGCCTTTGTGGGGCAGAGAGGTGCCCGGAGCCCAGACGGAGAGGGGCCGCCAGACCCCTGTACCCAGGATCCAGGAGTTTCGCTGTTTTGACCTCCAGCCTAGGGGCGGTGGGGCACGGGAGCCCAGAGAGGTGACCGCTTGCGATCTGATGGGGTTCAGGGGCAAAAGAGAAGGGGAGCAGCAGATGCAAGGGTGAGCGATACCGTGCTAGGGAGGGCAGATCAGCTGCAGGCTGTTCCGGTGGGCAGGGTCAGCCCTTGTGCAGTCTTGCAGCCCAGGCCAGGATTTGTCCTTTGAGTGGTTCCTGTTACCAGCCTGGGGTCTGGGACCCAACTGTGACAGGACTCCACAGGCTGTGCTCCAGGGCTGGAGGGCAGCAGAGACACAGATGAAGGGTGACTAAAAGGTTCCTGACAACCTTAGGTGGGGCTTAGGGTGAGCCTTGATCAAGCAGTGCATGATGTGTTTTTGTCCCAGGGTGGGCAGAACAGGAGTTGAAGGGGGCCTGCTGGGGGGAGGGCTGAGGGAGACCCTGCCAGGGTACTCCAAGTCGAAGCTGGGTGGTGAAGGTACACTCTGTAGGTCAAGATGAGCAGAACCAGTGAGGTATGGAGGAATGCCCACGGATCCTGGGGCATTCTGGATGCTGACTGAGAGGATTTAGTGAGACCTTGATGGGTGGAGTGGGGTCTTGCTGGGCTTTGCTTTGGCACCGGGGGCCACATCAGGGGTGTATGCATGGACGGCAGGGCCCAAGAGTTGTTTTCACAGGAGCAGAGTTGACTGACCTACTGGCCTGGTGTAAACCTGAGGGAGGGCACCATGGGGCTGGGCATCAGGGGTGTGGTGTGCAGACCAGAACTGACTCAGGAGAGGACCGTTCCTGGCAATGTCCTGGTCATGCCAGGTGGACAGAGAGGTATGCACACCCCTTTTCCTGGGGCAGGAAGTTGGCTTGGGAGCCCAGGAGAGGCTAAGTTGCAGTGGAAATACCACACAGACAGAGAAACAAGATCACACTCACAGCAGAACACATGCCACAGGCCAGTGCACACATTGCCAGGCACATACACAAAGGGACCTTGCACAGAAGTCAGGGCTCAGGTGAGCTAGCGGGCGGCAGGATGACTCACTCTGGGCAGTTCCCATTAGCTGGGCTGCAGCACTGGGCAGGCTGCCAGTAACACACAGGTCAGACAGACAGGAGTCACTGCCGGGTAGGGACCCTGGCAGCCTCGTCCTACAACCCAGTGGGGCATAGTCCTGTCTTTCAGATGGGACCTCTCCCTGGGGAAATGCCCTCGGTGGAGGAGAATATTGCCTTGGCCCTGGGGATGCTCCACTGTCTGCTGGGTGGGCTGTGAATCTCAGCCTGCCAGTCCAGTGTGTCTGAATCTGACCTCAGGGCCTGTGAGCAGGGACCTGGGAGAAGGGGCAGTTTTGAGTAACCAAGGACCTTTGGGGGCAAACCCAGCTGTGTCCCCCACCCCTTGGCAATGTCCAATTTAAGCGGCATCACAGCCTCTGACTCTGTGACATATACTATCTGGTATGATCCACCTGGGCCCATAGTGGCTCCTGTCAGCTTTGTGGAGAAGTGAATGTGACCTAGGCTACCCCAGTGCAAACGGAACAGGCCTCAAGGCTATCATGTTAGGGACTAGGTGCCAAAGCCCTCCCACATGCCACTGTGTCAGTGTGGGACGCACACTCAGAGGAGCTCTGCCCTGGGCACCTGAGACCTTCTGGAGTATCTGCTACTGGGCATGCATAACCCTGACACAGAAAAGGCACAGCAACCTGGCCATGCACCATGCACGCCTAGAGTGTCCGCTGTGCCAAGGCTTGAGAAAAAGGCTCTGCCCTGCTCACCTGCAGCCCTGAGAGTTACTTCAGGGTTAGGCCCCCAGAGTCAGGATAGAGGTCAGGAACTCCCTGCCCCTTTCCTCTCTTGCCTGCTCTGAGACCTGGGGCCGTAGCCCCTGATAGGTGGATCTGGCCTGGCCTGGCTTCCAGATCTGGGGCTGCAGCTCGGCTAAAGCAAGCTGAAGACCAAGCCTGGGTCCACCTGCTGCAACCCTCGGGGGCAATCCCCCTGAGACTAGAGGTCACACTGGGAATGTTCTAGGGAGAGACACCTTGGGGTGTCTGCCCATAGAGCTTCTCCACCTCAGAGGCCACCCACTCACTCCCGAGCAGTACCACTGGAGCCTTGTGGGCTCTACCTCACTCATTATGCCTTTAAGAGATCCTGTCACAGATGCCAGGCTGCAGTATGGTGGTGAACTGGCCACATGATTTGGGCCTTGTTTCCCAGGACCCAGCTAGACACTCCATCACCACTAGGACTCAGAACCCTAAACCCTGCCTGGGATCACAGTGAGCAGGAGCGAAGGAGAAAGTGTGTGTACAGACCTGCTATACCCCATCCTGGGTCCCTTCCCCTGGCCATTTTCTGCTCCAGAGAAGTGCACTGCAGGAGTTCCTGCCACCACACCCCAGGTCCAGCCTCCTTTGTACCCTCATCTGGGAATAGATGTCTTTGGGGAAGACTCCTGCAATAGGGCCTCACTCAGGAACTGATGCCCCCTCCTCAGCACAAGGGCACCTGGACGACCCTCACAGCCACATCCAGCACATAAAGGTTTCACACCTCTAAATGTCACCCCAGGGGCACTGAACCCCAGGATCTTTCTCCCAAAGCTATCTTATTCTGCACCCCACCCCCACCCTGCCTGCCTGACCTGCTGCTCCACTGCCTCTCCGGGAAGGCCAGCCAGGATGCTCAGGGCATCAATGATTGATGTATCTTGCAGCAGCCGCAGCAACATAACAAACAGTTCTGCCATGACCCACCCTGGCCCTGCCTGCCCCAGCCTTCAGACATGCAGAAGTGGGGGGGACTCTGTAACCACCCTCCCTACAGCCACCCACCTTGGTCCTTTGCTCAAGTTCTTTGCTCAGATTATGGGAGAAAATTCCAGGTCTTTGGGTCCAAAGGCTGAGGGTTGTGGTTAGTAGGTGGGAGGCCCTTCCCAGAGATGGTCCCCAGGTCCTCTGGCCCTACACCCATGCAGCTCAGCACACAGCTGGGCTTAGGAAGCAGTGGGGCATGTGGGGTGCTTTCCCTCCCCTACAGTGGTGGATTAAGCAGCCTGGCCTGCGACTTGGGGCAGTAGCAGCCCCAGGCTGACCCTGCTGTCCAGTCACCACAGGCACAGAGACAGGGACCAGACCCTTCCACTTCACTGGAAGACCCCAGAGGAGCAGGACCCTTGAGTTGTTTGGGGGCAGAGCGCGTGCCCAACCAATTCTTGCTGTCAGGTGACCCTGGGAGGCACCAGGTTTAGTGTGGCTCTAGGTAGAGCAGTACTTTCCCCAGGATCTAGGCTGGCCCTTCCTCCTGAGGCAGGGACAGGGAAGGCTTGGTTCCTTCATAGAGTGGTGCCCCACCCCATGCTATGGAGGGCAGAACAGCTAAGGGAATGGAGGGCTGGTGGGACTCCTCCTGGTATACTGGCCCTGCCTTCCATGACCCCTCAGAACTCACAGCCCACCCCACCCCCCCACGCTCTGACTTAGTGGGGATTCACCCTTCTGACCCACTCTCCTCCAACAGGTAGAACCAACTACTGCCTCCTCTGTCCACCCACCTGGGCTACCCTACCTCCTCCTGCAGTCTGGGCACCAATGTCAGAGCTGCCTCTGCCCCTTCCTCAAAGCAGTCCCTCTTTCCTGGGGTCTCCAGGGACCACCCAGGTCTACTAGTTTCCTATGGCTGCTATGACAAAATATCAATGGACTGGGTTTAAAACAACTTGCACTGGCTCTCTAACCTGGTGTTGACAGGGTATTGGGAGGCCTTGTGGAGCTCCATTTCCTGTTTGGCCTCTTGGGCACCTGCATCCCTGATTTCCAACTGTGCTTCTCTCTCTCTTTCTCCCTCCCTCCCTCTAGACAAGATCTCATTGTGTAGTCCAGGCTGGCCTCAACCTCACTATGGAGCTCAGGCTAGCCTCTAACTTTTCATCTTCCTGCCTCAGTTTCCTCAGTGGGGTATCACAGGCCTATATCACCAATCTCTCTGCCTCCCTGTAAGGACCATTTTCCCTGTGTCCTATGGCATAACCCAGGACCTTCTCTGTGCCTCCAGATCCTCACTTAATGGTATCTAGAACTCCCTTCCTTTCCACTTTATAAGGTCCATGGCTTCTAGGGACTGGGTTATGGACATCTTTGGGATGTACCATTAAACACTACCACAACACATCCCCAAACCTGGGTCTGTGGACCAAGAACTAGAACCTGATGTGATCTGAGGTCTTTCCTCCTGCATGTTGAAACTGAGACCTAGCAAAGTTTGGAGAGGTGCTGAGGGCTGGAACAGTTCCAGCCCCTCTCCTCCCACTCCCCGGCTCCTAATCTCTTTCCAGCTCCCTGGACCTCAGGGACAGGAAGAACAGTGGGTAAAGGGAATTGGAGCAGTGGCAGTGGACAGAGGGCAGGACCTGCTGGATCATGATGAGGCAAGCCAAGGCCAGTGTCTCCAAACACAAACAGTGCCTGACCCCATCCTACCAGGCCACTGTGGAAGCTGGGATTGCTGAGCCAAGACCTAGTCTGCAAAGCTCCAGCGAGCAGTGCCAGGCCCGTCTGCCCCTGGGGACGGGGCAGGCTGTGGTCCAAGATGCAGAGAATGATCTCATCTTGTCACTTTTAAATCACATTTTCCAGTAGCTCCTCGAGAAGGTGGGGGCTCAGCAGCTAAGCAATTCATGCAAGGGCAAGGCCCACGGAGGTTCAATGGAAGGGGAATCTGAGTGTGGAAGCGGGATCTGGGGTGGGAGTGGGGGGCTCAAGGGGAGGCTGAGGATGGCTGCCAGTCTAGGGAGACTGAAGTGAAGATGTGACAAGCCCAAGGTTGACTTCATGAGCCTCAGGATGGGGACAGATGGGAAAGAGCCAAGGATCCCCCTAGGAGAGGGGCAAGGCTAGCTCATCAAGCGCGCATGGCTCCAGGAGGGGGCAGCTGCATGCCCATGACCTGCTAGCCCTGCTCTGCCTTGGGACTGGCTGGTGACCAGGTCCAGATTCTAAGCACTCCAATAGAGTGGCTCGCGTTCTGCTTTGCAGACAGTGGACTCTCATCGTCCTGCAAATGAGGGTGATCTGGAACCGAGCTACGTCAGGCAGACTAGGTCCCTCCACGCAAGGGGCCTCTAGTCGGGTGGGGAAAACCTACCGGAACACAATTGAGCCCAGGCGGCTCGTTGGCCGCAGGCAAGGGAAGGGGTGCCTAAGGGGGCAGGGGCTTTACTCCTGGGATGTTTTGGGGAGCCGAGAACAGAGGAGTCACACCGGCTGGCATTTCCAGGGCGGGTAAGGCAGGAAGGCTGGGCCACGCTCGGCTCCGGTAGCCGCCGGCTGCGTCCACGTGCAGGGCGACTGGGAGTTCTGCGCCCCGCAACCTGCAGCGCCCCGAGAACTGCACCGCCCCGCAAACTGCAGCGCCCCGAGAACTGCACCGCCCCGCGAACTGCACCGCCCCGCAAACTGCAGCGCTTCGCAAACTGCACCGCTCCGCCTAGCAGCGGACTGTGGGTCGGAGGCCGGACCTCCACTGGCCACGCCCGAAGGCGGTGTGCTGACGTCATGAGAAGCACGCCGGAAGCCGGTCCGCGCACCGTTGCCGGGCAACGCGCGGCGCTGGCCGAGGGCAGAACCCGCCCCGGGTTTCCACCGGCCCGGCGAGGGAAGCTGGGTTCGCCCTCGGCCAGCCTCGGACCCCCGGCTTCGTTCTCCTCGGGCCTCGCAGGCAAGTTCCGACCGGCCGGGTAGGCTCGGCACCTCCGGTGGCCCTAGGACACGCCCCTGTGCCGACCCGTCGTCCACGCGTACCCGGCGGAGTCGGCCCACGGCGGCGCGTGGACACGCGGGAAGCCACGCGCCCAGCACCGCGCATCTGGATGCCTCCCGAGCGGCCTTCCTGCGGGTCGGCTGACTGGGCCACGCGAGATGCAGGGCGGGCAGGAGGTGGGGAGCGCGCCCGTGAATGAGTCCGCGGGGGCAGCCGCGGAGGACGCGCCTCTCCCGGCTGGGGGACCGAGTGGAAACAGCACCCCGACTCCGCCTGCTGCCGAAGCTGGCAGCTCCAGGCTGCAAGGGGGTCTCTCCTGCACCCCCAGCTGCCCCCACCCGGGGGAGCTCGGCGGCGGGTGGGGGGACTTCGAGGGCTTCCGGGAGTCGTCAGCTAAGTCTCAGCAGTTGTCTCGGTGCTTTGAACTCCTGGCGAGAACCGTGGGCCCGCGGCCACCGAGAACCTCTTCTGTGCCCGGGGACTGGAGTTCGCGGCAGGCGCAGCACGATGGACCCTGGGGGTCCGGAGCCGCTGCTGGCCGGTCTTCAGAGGTATTTCTGTGGCTGAGTGGGGAGGGTCGGTGTGCCTTGAGACTTTCCCCGGGCGTCTGTGCGCTGGGATGTGGAGAGGCCCAGCCTTCTCCTGGTTTACCCCCTGCTAGATGGCTGGCTGCCCCTCTCCTCACGTCAGAGGATGGAGGGTTTCAGGGGACCCTGCAGGTATGGATTGGACCACCCACCCAGGCGGGGGCCCAACGTGGGCAGCTTTCACTGAACTCTCTTCCCGAGGCCTGACCCTTCCCGATCAGGAGTTGCACTTACATGACCCCATTCAGGCCACATGGGAAATTCTGAATGTGCAGGTTTAAAAATCACAGACCTTAAAATCACATCACAGTTCAGCTTTGAGTGATAAACTTAGTTGAGACTGCCTCGGTCTTCTAGCCATTCTCTTCCCCACACTGCTCCTCTCCCCCGGTGGCTCACCTGTGAACACCAGAGAACATAAGTACAAGAACTGAGGAGGAGGCGTTCCAGCTGATATGGGTAGGATCCTGGAGTTTCCCTGGACCTCCCTGGAGGAGCACTCAGCTGACAAGAGTCAGCCTCCCCTATAACATTTGCTCTGAGGCAAGAACTTTTTCTGCCCTGGCTGATAGGCTTAGGAAACGTTTGTGCATAAGGGGAATTTTACAGGAACCACTGAGGCGGATATAGGAAAGTGACCCAGCAGAGCTCCAGGTCGTGTGGCTACACAGCGCTCACCTGAAAGCGCAGTTGCCAGCTGCATCCACGGGGTTGAGTCAGAACACCGCCCAATTCAGACCTTGTCCTCATCACCTCGCCTAGCTCAGTGGCATGGTGTAGACTTCCCAGGCCCTTGATGTGGGAGGCAGGACCAGTGTTAAGAGGCCTTCTCCACCTGTCCCTGACACAGTGTGAGCTTGCCCTCATTTCCTGCCAGCCCCCTGGTTTTCACAGCAGCTTTACACCATGTGGAGGTGCTGAGGAATGACTGTCAGTGATGGGCAACGGCAACCAAATGTGCCCAGAAAAGTGCACCTGGTAGGGTCACCTCCTGCATTTATTTCTCCTAACTTGGCAATGTTCTTTCCAGTCCATTCTCAGCTATGAGAATGTTTTTAGGTTTGCTTTTCAAGAAGTCCCAGTGGAGCAGGCACCTGACGACGTTTGCTCCTTAGACCGTTTCTTAGAGATAAGCTGTGAAGAAAACCCTGGACTCGCATCCGTGCCTAGACTGTGGTAATGAATTTAGATTGGAACTAAACGTTGTTACAGCAGCTGCATTTTTGTTTCTAAAGTGATTTGTAGCGAGCTAGTGCTCCAGTAGCCACGTGTGGGCTGCATCGTTTCAGAGCAGCTGGCGACACAGCTGGATGTTTCAGTGGTGTTCCTGCTATGGCCTGTCATATGCTGCTGGGGACTTGGCTAAGAGGTGTCTAGTACCTTCTGATCCTCACTGACAGTTAAAGCACCCTGGGGGTAGCCATCTAACCTACAGGATTACCCTGTGTGTGCTCCCAGTGGGCTTGCAAAGCTGAAGGCTCGTGATATCATATGTAGTCCTGGCCTGCTGGCCATTTGGTAGGGGCATGCTTTCAGTGACCAGGAACAATGTTGCAGGGCTGAGGTGCTCAGGAGAAGTTCCTTGTAACCCTGAGGGAAAAGATGGTAGGGTGAGAAGGCTCTGTCTCCCCAAGACATAGGGAAAGCTGGCCTGGGTTGCAGGGTCACTGCATGTCTGAGCAGATCTGGTCATTGTGAAAGCTCTGCAGACCACGGGCTCTGGCCTGACCCGTCATGGCCATCACTCAGGGAAATCTCAGAGTCTGCGCAGAAGACCCTGCACCCCTAACAGGACTTAGGCCTGGAGTTCAAAAGGCTGTGGCCGACAGGGCCAGGTGTCTGGTGTTCCTGCAGAGCATGGCCCCTGAGGAGTGCTTGCCTCAGGGCAGCCCCAGCAAGCCAGTGGTGCTCTGGTGGCCGTGCTGCTGTCAAGCTCCCCAGAGGCCCAGGTGGCCTAGCTTTCAGGTTTGGCAAAGCTAGACATGCTGGGATTAGAGGTTGGGTGTTGCCGTGGGTAGACACTGTTGCATGTTCTAATATAGTTTGAGAAATGAAGATGATGTAGCATTTGGCACATCCCGTCTGGTCCTGAAGCTGCTGGGTTTCACCTCTCCAGGGCATGGGCAGCTTCCACAGTGCTCAGCGTTAACATTGGTTCTACGAGACATCCCTCACTTGCTTCTTGACTCTTCTGAGCTTGGGTGCTTCTGTAACAAGCACAGGTGTAGGCCCTTTGTGAACAGCACCAGTGAACAGGCCAGTAAATAATCTGGCCTCAGGGATTCTCTGAGAAGCTGTGTTGGCAGGGGACAGATATGAAACAGGGAGGACATTTGATGGTAAATGTTTGACTCAGTATTTGAATTGTGACTAACAAGAGAGAAGAGAGCCAGCCCACTTCTGAAGGGACTTGTTCAGAGGTCTTGAAGGCCAGGTGTTCCCTGCTGTGGGGTTGGGCTTTGGCGACATGCTCCAAAGACTTTCAAGTCTCCTGTCAGTGACTGCATCTTTTTCCCAGTTCTGAATCTAGGAAACTCTGGAGAGCTCTTCAAAACACTGACACCGTGTCTTCGTCTCCATGCCTCTGGAGCGAGTCTCGCTGTTGGGAAAACCTCTTTCCTGTTCTTGGCATAGACGCTGCTGAGAAGGTGAGGTGGCTCAGGGAGGGTGTCGGTCAGGCTTCGCTCTTGTGACAAAATACCTGAACAGAACAACTGATGGAGAAAGAGGTTTATTTTGCATCTCAGTTCAGTGGTTTCAGCCTATGGTGTTCTGGTTCCATGTTTCCAGGCCTCTGATGAGATAGTACATCATGGCAAAGGGTATGAGAGAGGGAAACTGTCCACCTTGTGGTGAATGGAGAGCAGAGAGAAGCAGTAACAGGCAGGATCAGCCCCCAAGGTCACACCTCCAGTGACACTTCCTTCAACCAGGCCCCACCTCTTAAATTTCTATCACTTCCCCGTCATGCTGTTGGATTACTGAACCTGTCAGTGGATTAATATGTTCAAGAAGTTAGAGCCCTCAGAAGCCAATCACTTTTAAAAAGCCATCAGCAAGCCCCCAGCATATGAGCCTGTGGATGTTTCATGTTTGAATTGTAATGGGAATGGAGACATCACCGTGGCCAGCCACCCTGGCATGGCACACTTGGGAGACCACTGGCCTGGGACAGGGCGGGTGGTAGGGAACAGACCTGGGAGGACATTGTTCCCTAGGCCTTGTGATCACTCAGAACGTGACTGGGGCAGGCAGGGTTGGGAGGACGAGGCAGCAGCATGGTGTGAGGCCTGGGGCTGTCCCGTCTGTCTTTGGCCGTCCTTAGACACCTGTGCAGGACTCCAGTGTGTGCACAGAGTGAGCATGAGGAGACAAGATGTGGCTACTGCATGAAGTGCTGCCTTTTGGGTGGAGGGCCTCTCAGGGAGCCGTTGAAGGGTAACAGCAGCAGATGGAAAAGTCAGCCAGGCATGAGGATGGGCAGGAGCCAAGGCCCACACCTCAGGTGCCTGTCAACAGAGGTAGGGTGCAGTCTACCTGCTGCAGCACACAGGAAGGATGGGAGTAAACAGTTACCTGGCTTAGGTGGGGGTTGAAGCCACCAGGTGGCCCCCCAAACATGTGGAGGCCCCAAGAAGAATTCCTGATGCCTGAGGTGGGACCAGCCAACCCCAGGGCAGAACAGCAGGAGAGAAAGCCTCAGGGGTTGGCCGGCAGATAGCAGTGGATGATGCCCGTGAAGCACCTGTGTACACAGGCCAGAAGCTCCTGAACTACCAGAGATGTTACACCTCAGAGCGAGGCCACCTGCCGGAGGTCAGGTGACAGAGGCCTTTGAATCTTGAATGTTATGTAAAGTTTGAAACAGAAACTCAAAGGGACCAAGAGGGAAGGCAGGTTGGCCTGCTGAGGGCCGTGGTGTGTACTGGCCTGTGTCATCCCAAGTCACCAAACTGGGCAGGAAGTAAGTGAGGAGCTGCAGGAAAGGTCAGCCTGGCCTGGTGGGACAGGGGACCCAGAACCCAGAGGCCAGGAAACGGGTCTAGGTGGGAGGCTTAAGGAGTACAGCTTCAGACCACGGCAGGGCACAGGACCTTATCCTGGAGGTACCTACGAAGACATTCTGCTGAGCAGTGTCCATTCTTCTGTTGTTATAACAAAATACATGAGGTCAGGTCATTTATAATGCTCAGACGTTCATTCAGGTCACAGTTCTGGAGGCTGGTAGTTCAAAACGTGGCACTGGCACCTGCTCCGGCTTTCTGCTGCCATAATGTGGCACAGCATCCTGAGGGGAGACAGCAAGCAAGCCAGCTCTGATCTCTGCTCATAAAGCCTCTAGTGCTGCCGTGGGGGCCCCACTCAGATGACCTCTATCCTGATCACCTCCCAAAGGCTCAGCCTCCAAATGCAGTCAGCATATGAATTTGGGGATTGAGTTTCCAATACCCAACTTCTAGGGACACATTCAGGCCACAGCTGGGGACCACAGTTCTGGAAGCCTGTGGGCCAGGTGACGTGCAGCAGGCTAGGCAGGGAGGCCATGGGCCTGACCCTCTGAGGGGCCCAAGGTTTCTAGAATTAAGATTACTGCAATTTTAGAGAGATGGGTCAGCAACTAAGAACACAGGTTGTTCTTGCAGAGACCCAGGTTTGAATCCCAGCACCCACATGGCAGCTTAACAACTGTAACTCCAGTCCCAGGGGATCCGACAGCCTCTTCTGACCTCCATGGCATTGCATGACATGGGTGCACTTACCTACATGCAGGCAATACACGCATACACAAAAAATAAAAATAATAAAGTTAAAAAAAGAAAGAAAATGGTGATGTTGTAACAGAGGTTTGTTTTCCTTAGAACCTATCTGGAGGCCAGAGTCAGGTTCTAGAAGGTTCTGATCCCAGAGAGCCTGAAGAGCTGCTGCCAGTCAGCAGCTTCCGCCTACACCACTGCAAAGCCCTGATCCAGACCAAGGTGAGCCTAGCGAGGAGCACCAGGCCTCCAAGTGCTGAGGACCAGGGACAAAAAGGTGGGAGTCAGAGGCCAGGGGTCTGGAATGGCCACGGGCCAGGGGCCAGCAGAGGTGCCTGCCGGTCTGAGCAGCAGCTCTTCTCGCAGGTTGAGGATCCTGCTGCGGCAGCCCATCCAGTCATCACGGCGGGAAGAGAGGTTCACACAGGAGCAGAGCCTTGTTCCTGTGGCCCTCTTATCAGGGAGGAGGGCCCGTCTGGTCCTGGGCCTGGGCCCACTTTGAATCAGGCATTGCAGAAGAGGCTCCATATGTGTGTCAGGAACAGTGGGGAAGGGACACAGCTGGAGTGTGTGCCACAGGGATCTGCTTTGCAGTGTGGGGGAGGGGAAGGGCAGAGTGCAGCCCTGTGGGAAGCTATGCATCAGTACACAATGGTGCTGCCCAGCTGAGGTAGGCTACAGTCTCGGTTGATAAATAGGTGGCAGGTGATGGGTGCTGTGGGGCATTCAGGAGAGGGCCTCATGAGCTCCCGTAGAAGATTGTACCCCTCTGCTTTTTGGAAGGCACCCTAGAACAAACCTCTAAGGGTAGGCTGCAGTTGTCTTTGAGCAACAAGACTTCATGGCCGCATCCTTCACCATAGCCAGTGTTGGGTGGATGCCCAGCAACAGTAATGTGGGTGGAAACTGGTGGAATCACCAGTGGGCGCTGTGGGGCTAAAGTGACCAGACCCAGTGAGAAGGCCAGGGAGGAGCAGACTCCTTCTACCCCTGGGCTGCAGGGAGTCATTTTAAGAATATTGGTCTGGTTACTTAGAAAGTTCCATGGCAGTGACCAGGTCCAAGGAGAAAAAGCCAGGGGCAGGGTGGCCGACCCTGTGGCCTCTGTCCTGGTCTGTCTGACCTAGATGGTTCGCTGATTGCACTGCAGTGAGACCAGTGTGAGACAGCTGAGGGACTCCAAGGAGGGCTGGTTCCCACCAAGGCACCTCCAGAGTTAGACACATGGACCTGACCATCTCTCTCTTCAGCTCTCAGGGACGCCTGACAGCAGACAGGGGAGCCTGATCACCTACAGCCTGTTTCTGAAGACACCAGTACATGGGAATGGGCACTACATCACCATTCCACAGAAAAAGATGTTCACACCACGCAACCTAAAAATGGCATTCTTTAATAATTATGTTTGGTAAAAGCAGGAGTACTTTGTACCTTTAGGAGACATTTTACATTTTCTTACTGCTTTGTTTTGACTAGAAACTGGGAACTGTTCTGTGGAGCTGTTTCCCACATCCATGTCAGTTTCCTAGGACCTTTGTCAGTCCACCCTGTACCCATGTGCTCAGGATTGTCCTTGGTCAGGGCCAGTTTCCAAGCAGGGTCTCTGGGGACACTGTAGGCTGTATCCCGATGCCTGGTGATGACCCAGGCATGGCGCTCAGTCAGATCCATGAGTTCAGGAGAAATTGGGTGACAGCTGCTGAGCACATGCAGGACCCTGTGTGCACGGGTGATGGCATCCCTCCTGCTGTTTTCCTGAAGTGTGTACATGCCTGTGCTGGGTCCCACCTTCACCCTGCAGCCTGGGGATGGGCGTGTGTCTCTTAGTGAATAGGTTGGTGGGACACCACACTGGGTGGCCCAGGAG